GCACTGATTAGTATTTTTTCTCCTCATCCTGAGAGAGAGAGAAGAACCATAGATCAAAATGGTGCTTCTCTTTCACATGAAAAACCAAGCCTAGCTTGTCTTCCCTAATAGTGACACTCACAGACATGTGTGGATTCCAGCTGCTCTGCTCCTGATCATCACCAACACTCAATGGATAAACTTCTTAGCCACAAAATAGTGTTAATGATAATTGGTCTATTTTCCTAACTATAAGTAGGGGTAATGGTTGCTAAGAACTAAATGATGAATGAGCTAAAGCACTTATCAGATTACATGTTACCTAATAAACATTTGATAGCATTTCCCAGGAATCATAACCGTGCATGGGACAGGGAAGGAGGAGGGGAAGGGTGGGCGGGAGGAGTTTGAGCACAACTGAGGATAAGCACTGTGGTTGTTGTAAAAATAACTACGCAGAGTTGTTTTAAAGGCAGGGATCCTCCAGATGGTATGATTCGATTCACCCAAAAGCAGAAACAGACACAAAAACTTGACTACTACCTTCCAAACAGAAACATTCAATTTCTGAAAATTTGGCTAAAAAAATATCCTTGGCTTGTGTATGATGAGTTTTTAAATCTGATGTTCTGCGCCCTGTGTCGTAAGCATGGAGTAAAGTCAGGGGGAAGTCAAGAGAGCTTTTTCCATGGAACTGACAACTTCAGGACGGAATTCCTCAATGCCCATCACCTCAGCGAGGCACACGCCAAGGCTTCATTAATGGAAGCGACAAGTGGCTCTCCAGGGAACCGAGCTGCCACCGATCTAATGGTGAGGACCATGAGCAGAGTAACTCTGGGCAGAGTAGAGAACTTATTCAGATCATGCCACGCCATTGCCAAGACTGGCCGCCCCCTCAAAGACTTTATTTGGATGTGCAAGTTGGATGATATGAAGGGTGTCGATATTGGCCTCGTGTTCAGGACTAACAAGTCAGCGAGAACGTTTACCTATTTTATTGCTGAGGTAGAACGGAAAAATCTTAGACAAAAGCTAGAGAAAAGTAAATTTTTCTCAGTCATCAGTGATGGATTCATCGACAGTTTCATTGAGGAAGCCAAACTTGTCTATGTGCAGTTTGCACACGCAGGGAAAGTGCATTGTCAAATTGTGGGGGTCCATACTGTGGAGGAAAAAGACCCTCTGGCAATAAAAACTGCCATTGAGAAAACTCTAGAGGTAAATCTTCAAGTTAGGCTGTCCAGCCAAGACTGGGCCAAGAAATTAGTTGGATTTGGAAGTGATGATGCCCCTGAAAAAGAAGAAGGGAAGGAGCTGGCCTTACTTTTAAGAGAAATCCAACCATGTGTCCAGACTGTATACTGCTTAGCACATCAACTTGAACTCTCTTACAAGGCAGTGTTCCAGAACATCCCTCTCTACAATGCTCTCCAAGATCTCCTTCACAGCATTTACCATTTCTATCAGAATTCTACTGTTCATAAGAGTTCTCTGATAATAGCCTTCAAAGGCCTTCACCTTCAACCTGTGATGCCTTCTCAAATTGGAGGCCCGCGATGGCTTTACAGACTGCAGGCAGCCCTCCAGAACTTTCTCAAGGGATACCCAGCAATTGTCCAGCAACTGCAGTCAGTAAGTAATTCTTTCTTCCACGTCGTAACAAAAAATACTTTCATTTCATTTCTCAGAATAATGTGTTTTGAGAAGGATAAGCACATCATTGCTGATCTTGTGTTACAGGCCGATGAAGGCAGATGGGATACCAATGAACAGAAAGCCAAAGAACTCCTCAATCTTCTTCTCCAAGCTGACATCATCAAGTTTGCCCATTTCTTGGTGGATGTCATTAATGTCCTTACCATTCTGTCCCGGGTCAGTCAGAATAGAAATTCCTCAATTGCAGACATATTTGCCACTTTGGAGTCAACACTGAAAATGCTCCAGATTTATCAAACAAGGTGAGGGGTTGGGATGACCTGAGGACCCATCATCCAGTTATACATGAGAGACATGATTTTCTGGGTGATTTTCTATTTAATTCTTTGAGCTCTCTCTCTCCCTCTCCCTCTCCCTCTCTCTCTCTCTCTCTCTCTCTCTCTCTCTCTCTCTCTCTCTCTCTCTCTCTCCCTCTCTCTCTGTCTCTCTCTCTCTTTCTCTCTCTCTCTCTCTGTCTCTCTCTCTCTCTCCCTCCCTGTCCCACCTTTCTCCTTTTCCCCTCTCTCCCTCTCATGTCCTTCGCCTCTGTCTCTTTCTCTCCCTGCACCCCCCACCCCCATCCACCTCTCTTTTTCTCCCCCCAGGCCAGGGCCAAAAGAACGTAGTGTACATTCAGTCATCCACTTTCACAGTAACTGTCTCAAAGGAAAAGAAAACATATCTGACGTGAGAAACGTGGTTTTAACACATCTTATCAGGAGGCTGCAAGGCTGTTTCAGAGATGCCAGCCTAGATGTGGTGAGAGCAACCATGATTGGAAGTTTCAAGTTGTGGCCCACAAAGATAAATCAAGGTAAGCTACATGTGCTAACTCTGAAGCTATTGTTCTTTGATTGGATGAGATTCTTGCAATACATGACTCATGTGTGTGTGTTGATTGCAGAGTTCGGAGAGAAGGAGGTGTCTATCCTGATCGCACATTACGAACCAGTATTAGAAGCTGCCAGTGTAAAAATTGATGAAGTGGACACCGAATGGAGCATGTTGAAATTAGAAATTTATGCCAAGTAAATACAAAAGCAATAAAAATACTGGTTTATATGTATTAACGTTAGGGCAAAATTCAGGACACTCAATCTTTAACATTTTTCTTCCCTACTCCCCGCCTCCACCTCAGGTTTCAGAACATTCGAAAATTGACCTGGGATTTTGTGAATTCCATTTACTCACACAAGTATCCAAATATCCTGATGCTGGTGGACTTAGTGTTGGCCCTTCCTGCAAGTTCAGCTGAAGCAGAACGTGGCTTCAATCAGATGAAACGCACCAAGTCACACATGCATGCTAAAATCAGGGCTGAAAGTCTGACAGATAGCCTGGTCATTCAGCTGAACTCTCCAGACATTAATCACTTTGACCCTAGGAAAGCTATCCATTTATGGAACACAAGGACACCATCTTCCACTAGTGATACAGGATCCAATTCAGATTGCTCATCAAACTCAGAAAGCCAAGATGAAAGTGACGAGTAATGTGACCAATAGGATCATTGCAAAGACCCAAGGGAAAATATGAAGGTTTTCACAAATTTGAAATTAAGAAGTGGAACAGTGATCAGTCTTCACCTCAGACGTAAAAAGTCATTTGTCATCTTCTAAACAAACAAAACAAAACTCCAGATATGTCTATTTCCTGTAACTTTCTGGCTTCACCTCTGTGTTTATGTATTATTTTGAGTTCTTTGGTTTTATATGCTCGCTTCTAAGACATGGTGTTATTACAGAGTCATTTTCCTGAACATTTTTCTTATGAGTGAAGAGACTGATTTTGACCTTAGCTCTCGTAGGCCTCGTATATACAATTTACTATTTTCCCCTAAGTATAAGTGGTAGTTGCATCAGTAAAATTTGGATCAAATGGAAAACCTTTAGATTTTTTACCTTATGAACAGAATTTCTAAGTGAAACTATGATTATCAGATATGAAAATCATATAAGTACATGCCTTGGTCACTGGAAGCACAAAGTCAAATAGTAAAATAGTTTTCCCATCTCACAGCCAACCCCAGATAAACAGTATCTATGTAAACTGCAAGTACTTTCTGGCATAGCAAATTACTTTGTTTATCACAGTGATTAGAGACCATGGAAAACAGAATTTTTAAATGCTCTGGATTTCTTTATAGTTTCAATAGATTTTATTTATGATTTTATGTTGAGGACAAGATGGATTTACTTCTAAACTTACCTGAAAGTTAGTTGGCATTATATAAATCTTCAATTCCTGAAAAGTTGCTACACAGGAAAATATTCTCATCTCTACAAAAGTGGATACTTCGGTGTGATCACAAGTGATTTTAAAAATGTAATTTCTGAACAACCTAGTTGGATGGACAACATGGAAGGAATAAAGGTCCCACTCTTCCTACTCATAATATTACCTTGTAAAACTCGTTATATGTTTTACTTGAACCACTGACATTATAAGTGAATTAGTGCCTTGCCCTAGAGTTTAGAGGAAATGATAAAATTCATATGAAACTTTGGGATGCAACATCTATGTTTCATTTTATTACTAAACAATGAAGAATAACTATAAACTTGGGACCTAAAAGATAGCTGGAAACATGTTAGGATTCTCTGTGCATTCTTGAAGTTACCTCTCCTCTGTTAGATGCGTTCTCCAGTCTCTTGTAAGATAAAAAAATGATTTATTATTTTCCTATTTCTTTTTAGTGCATGCACATGCAAGTGTAAATGAGAAATGAGCAAAGTAGACATTTGTTTTAAGCAGGATAATGTAGAATAATGTATAAAAGTATTGATAAGTTGAGTGATAGTTTATAAAGCCTCTTGAGCTATTGAGCCAATTAAATGAATTATATTATCACTTTGAATCTAGTGATTTTAAAATATAAATCTATGTTTACTAAGGCAAATAACTATAATCTGAGCTGTAGTAAATAAAAATAAATATGTTTCTTGATTGTAGTGGTGATCTGTATGCCTGTATCATATATGTACCAAAAAAGTTTATTTTTTGTGCCCTACTACATGTATGAAAACTTAGGTAATGTTAATTTTTTCAATTTAATCTATTCTGAGTAAAAGTTCAAAGAAGATTCAAAACTAAAAAGCATATCATTCTAGTGGAATAAATTATTACAAGAGCAAAGAAGACATTCTGATGAGGGTGGAAAATACTAACCAGAATATCAGGAAACTATGGTTATTATGTTTCCAAAATAGCTTCTGTTTTTCAAAATATGCCAGTGCCAAGAAAATAACAATACAATGCGTTTATTTTTTTAGCAAAAATAAACTTTATTGTATAAATAACAAATAGCTTTCATTCTATCATAGGCACATTAGGAAATAAAGCGTTTACTGACATTCTGCTTGATTTGGTGACTGTGAATCTAGGAACAAACAACTTCCCTAATAGTTGGATGCATCTCACCCAACTTGAGGTAAGCTTCCATTTCTTTTTTGGGTTCCAAAATCTTTAGTATTATTATTATTGTATGAGTGAATCAATATTTCTAAAATAACTAACAGTTTCACAGTGTTTGACCTAGTAGAAACTTAGGGGGGTGCGGGGGAAGGATGGGAAGGGATGGGAAGGGGAAACAAAGGAGGAGGCTACAATGCTTGATAAGAAATGTACTCATTATCTTGCCCATGTAATTGTAACCCCTCTGTACAGTATTTTCATAATAATATATATATTAAAAAAACAAAAAAAGAAAAAAGAAATTTAATAAAATTTGAATAAATGAATAAATGACCTTGAAATTAAGACATGATATACACATGTTCAACATTTGAGAAGTGTTGATAGTCAGTTAAAAAAAAAACAGAGGCTATGAGGTACAATCAATGACTTTGTATTCATTACTGTCTGATAAAACTATCCTAACTAGTAATAATCTATGATTCTGAGAGTCCTTGTTTTTCATCATGGCCTCAGAAGACAGGTGCTGGTGACTTAATCTTGTAATCCTGGCTACTCAGGAGGCTGAAATCTGAGGATTGCAGTTCAAAGCCAGCAAACAAAGCCATGAGACGCTTATCTCCAATAAATTAGCAAAAAGCTGGAAGTAAAGGTATGGCTCAAATAAAGCTATGAGCAGAGGGAGAAGGTGAAATACAGATTCAGCCTCCCACCCCCAAAAAAGAAAATCTCAGAAACCAAATGGTTAAAGAGCTCTTCCCAGGGCTGGTGTATGCCTGTAGAACCATAGAAAGCAACATGAGTAGTAAGGGTAACACTCACACTGTGATCAGAGGCAAGTCCAGGCAAAGTTAACGAGAACCAATCTGAGAAACAAACAAAAGCAAAAGGCCTCAGAGGTGAGCTCAATCCCAAGAGCCTCTGTCGAAAAGATACAAAGATACAAGTGTATATTGGTCATATAGCAATAAGCAAATCCCATGAATGTCAAGGAATGAAAAATAAAACTTTCTAGTAGTTATGAATCAGTAGCCAGAAAAGGGAACAAAAACTGAACAAAGCCGTAGTAACTGGCTGCATTTTTGGCACTATAAAGTCCTACTTCTTTCATCTGACCCTCACTTTCAGAACCTGAGTGGGCGTGGCTTCAAGGTAATCATACGAATATTCCAGTAACTTTCTTCTTCTTCTTCTTCTAGTTGCAAGAAATAACGTCTTTATTGACAATCAACTTTGAGTTCGTGGACTGGCGGAAATTCCTGTTAGTGGCAGCGATGCCCTGGCCCATCCCACTGGAACAGGAACTCCTCGAGACCCTGCAGAGATTCAAGGCTGCAGATAAGGCGCAGTTGGGCACCATCACTTTTGAGCAGTACATACAGGTTGATACCAGACCTAGTGGACCAGTGATGCCCTGACATCCTTTTGACTTAGGAAGAGTTTTACCCACAGATGTCACATCACAGGCTTCAGGAGAGGACCATGGTTTCCTTCTCAGCAGCCAAGATGATGCAATACAAAGTCCCAGGCCCAGCTAAGAGTTTGGTTTCCGGGGGGAAGAGCATGGCAGGGGAGACGGGGATGAGAGCTTTTCATTGTCCATTAAAATCCTTTTCAGAGATTTTAATGATACCACTGTTAAATGGCCACTTGTCCAATAGTAAAGAACACAGGGAAAGGAGGTATTTTTTCCTACACTTAGGGATGAGATGATTAGTAGATACTGTAATTCCTTCTGACAAACTGCATTTGAAATGTCCAGTCTGATAGGACAGATGGAGAGGGATTGTGAGACACTCTCATGGAGGTGTTATGAAGTTATAAATGGAGATAACCCAAGGAATGTGATGGATGATCCAGTAGCTTAGTAATTTGAGGATTGGACTTGTCAGGGGAAAAAGGACTTCTGCTGGAATAGTTGTAGAAAATGGAGTACAGAAACCAGATTGAAAATGGTTGAGATAAGGAATAGGTCATTAGGATAATTGATATATGAATGGATAGATGGATAGATGACAGATGATACAGACAGACAGACAGATGACAGATAGATAGATAGAGAGATAGATAGATAGATAGATAGATAGATAGATAGAAACAGACAGACATAAATAGATAGCAGACATTTTAGTTACTATGACAGATACGGAATTTTTTAAACGTTTGAATAATAAATAGTAAGAATAAATTTCCATGTCTATTAGCAGCCTTGCTTGTTAATTTTGTATTTACTAATTGAATTTGTCTTTTATACACCATTTACATGACTGATTGACAGCAAAAGAGGCGAGTATTCATAAGGCATTAACTTGGAAGCAAAATACTAGCTTCTAGTGCCAGGATCCTACATGTCTCTCACTACTGAAACTTCAGATACCTTCCTGCCTCTCTTTACTTCCTGATTGACAGATAAAATTGTTTAGAAAGCTCCAAGGTTCCCATGCTACCAAACTAGAGCCAAAGAAAATAATTCATGAATTCTGAAAAGGTTCTTCATGGCTAATCAAGACACACATCTGGCTAACTGGACTCTAAAATATTTTATTTCACAAGCAGAGTAACTGTCCTGGACTTAAAATTTTGTTAGGATTTGTTTGTTTGAAATGAAAATTAGCAGAATAAAATTTAAACTATTTCTCCAGTGACTTAAGATTTTTCAAAGTGGACATTCATGAAAACCTTCATTGTTTACAGTAAATAAAATAGATATGAGATATCAACACAAAATATAAAATGGAACATCTTTTATACAGCATGTAAAGAACAAAGAAGTGCCTAGCGCAAAGCAGAAAGCTCCTTGAGAGACAGTTAGATGCTGCATCTACTAGAAACTCAGAAATGTCTGCTTGAACACTGTGTTTTGGGGGTAACAGACTATTTTTAAAAGTGTCTATTCCTTGGAAGTCCCAGGGTGCTAATACCATTTGGAGAAGTGTGCAGAACTTTCTCCATGTTCTCTTTAGATTCCCAACTCTTAATTAGCTCACACATACAAAACACTTCATGAAAATGAAAGTTCCTAACAGCTTTGAGGGAAAAATTTCATAAGATCTATTGAAAATTCCATATAAGAACAGTAGTTACACTAGTTTATGTAGCTGCATTGGTGAAATGAAGTCTTCTGAAGAAAAGAGCTATCTACTATACTTTCCATTTTGCCTTTATGTTTTCTATTTACCGATTGTACAGCTACTTAGAAGTAAGCTAATTTCTCCAAATTCTAAAAATGGACAGGCATTCAGCATATGAAGTTATTCAGGTCTACCTTGACTAAGCAATGAGTATCGGGGTCTGTTTGTCCCTTGTTCTGGGCGTTGAAGCTTCTTTCCTAAATTGAGTTAGTCATACACATGTAGAATTCTTTGATTTTGAAATATTGGCTCATTTTCTTTTTTCTGAATACATTTCATTACTATCTTAAAGTACTTACACAAAGAAGTTGCAATTTAACAAAAGCAGTTTATAAATACACCTTGATCCATGTCACCCCCTCAACAGTCTCACCATCCATCTCCTATCTACCCCTTCTCTCACTCTTCTTAGTTTTGTAGGATATATATTGGATTCTTGTCTGCATTTCCTCCCTCGTCTCCTCTTCATTCTTCTACCTTTCCCTCTTGACCTCACTCCACACCCTTTTTAGTGCTGCTTCTTGGTGTTTTATTCTGCTGAACTTTGGTTTGGGCTTTCTATGGACTTAGACTATTTGAGATCTTCCTTGAGTCTACCATATTTCAGTTACTACATTTGTATTTACTTGCATTCCACCCAGCATGTGTACTTAGGAATTTGCAAGCTAAATCTAGCTTCCATTTATAAGGGAAAACACAGATCCTTTGTCTCTTTGGTCCTGACTTATTTCACTTACCATCATTTTTCCAAGTAATGATTCATTTTCTAACAGAATGAATGTTACCATAGTCTCAGTGAGTCAGATGTTCTATTTTCCAAAGAGTATAGCAATTCATCTCTAAGGAAGATTAAACACCCTAAAATTGTTGGTAATGTTTTAGCAAGAGAGTACAAAGAATATCTTCATATTTCAAAGAGAAATCATTTAATAATTCAATAAGGTAGTATGTAATGGACAAAACCTAGATTCTTAATAAACCCATTAGTACATACTACTACTAACTTTACAGGTTGCTAAAATTTTTGTAGATGATCTGTTAGAAAACAGGTGTTTATCTAATATGGTCCTTTTGTATGAGAAACACTGTGAAGTATTTATCTAATTTATGAAATATCACGTATTTTTAGAAAACTGTACAAATGAATCCTTAGTTTAAAAATCAGAGGAAATTCCAGTACATTAAAATAATTAGGGGGAGAAAGAGGGAGAAAACTGAGGAAAAGGATAACAAGTTAGACAAGAAATGTAATGACTACCTTACTTATGTTTACTTAACTGTGACCCCTCTGTACATCACCTTGACAATACAATAAAAATAAAATACTTAGATATGGAAATGATGGCTGAAAATGGAAGAAAGTGTAAGGATATTTTCTTTGTTTCTTTTTCCAAATCTAATTTCTTTTAACTTTTCACATTTCTCATAGTTGCTTCTGGCAATTTGATTAGAGTGTTCCTTAGTGAGGTTTTCTTTATGTTTTGTCTGCTTACGGTTTGTTGAGTCTATTTGGCAGTTTTTGTCAAATCTGGAAATTTCAGAGATTATTTTTCAAATACAGTTTTGTACCTCTATGCCTCAAACCCATTTTGTGTTGATTAGACAAATTGGCTTATTGGAAAAGTTCTATTATTAGACAAGTTGTCCTACATACCACTCACTGATGCCTTATGTTTTTCCAATCTATTCATGTTGTATTCATTTCTATAACTGAGTCTTCAAGTTTATCTGTATTTTTCTTTTCAGACCTGTCTACTAACAACATCCAGTGAGTTTCATCTCAGACCGTATAGTTTACACAATTCTACACATTTGAGTTGGGACCTTTTGAGTATTATATTTCCTCAGTATGTCCATGGTTTTCTTAATCTCCTTCAATAGTCTCAGAATTGCTCTTCTAAACAGCTGGTGTATATGGAGAATATCTGTTTTAACATCCTTATCCATTCATTCCACTATTTGCCTCATTTCAGTGTTGATGTTTTTCTGCATATGGGTCATATTTTCTGTTTATTAGTGTTTTTTTCAATGTCTAGTAATTCATACTAGAATTTTGAACATTCTTTTGTTGGATACCTAACTTTATTATTTAGCTTAGGTGTTGTCAGACATGTGATGTTTCTTAGAATCAGTTTTAGTCTTTCAAATTTACTTCAAGAATTATGAAAGTGATTCCAGAGCACTCTTTATAGTGTTAATCTTATTCTACTGTAAAGGTTATACTCAAATTCCTGTGCATTGAAGGCCTTCCATCAACAAACGATGATAACATGAACTGATCCCAAAACTTGGGAGTCTCTTCAATTGTTGAGCTTACTATTTTCCAGAGCTCCTTTCTCCAACCTCTGGTATTCTCTACCCATACCTACACAGGTCAAGACCTGAGGGAATTCTTGGGTACATTTCCCTGTGTGTACACTGCTCTAATATTCTTTCCAGTGAATTCTAGCCACCTTGGCCTCCTTTACCCCTGAAATCTATCTTCTGAACTCAGCAAGACTGCCAAGCCTTATGTGTTCCTTCTGGCACCACAGGTGGGAGCACAGGTAGGACTTCTCATTTTCCTGCTTATTTTCAGGAATAACTGTCTTGTATTATCTATTGTTCCACGCCTAGAAAATTCTCTTTCATGTTATTTAAGGAATGAAGATAAGCTTCCCTGTATTAGTCAAGTCTAGAGGCAAAGTGCTTACCAAAGTGCCTCATCTCTCTCGTCTCAGATAAGCCACTGGGCACTCAAAGCCACTCAAAGCTTGAGCTTATGCTGGACATTAAAATTCTTCTGTTTCTCACAAGCTTCCATAAAGACTGCATCTCCTTTTACTAAAAACAGTGCATTCTTTTACAGGTCATAGTCATATCTATCATCTAAAGCTCTCTTTATTTTTGGAAGGAAGGTAGGTGAAAAGGAAGAAAGGAAGGAAAGAAAGAAGAAAAACACAGAGCATAGGCCTGAGTTAAGCAAGAAAATCCAGTAGCTCTTGGAAGAATGCGATGCTGAGGATAGGGTGTCACTCTGGAACATGATGAGCAGCCAAATAATTCTGTATATTAAGTGCTTACCAGGCATGAAAATTAAGCTTCATAAAATATGTTCTTACAAATCAACTATTTTACTTGATATCCAGCAGCAGGCATAAGTGATAATTCCAAAAGGAATAATCTAAGTGCCAAATGTGTGTTTCAAACCGTCTAATTGCAATTCAGAGGAGACATCAAAGATGACTTCTCCGAGGAGAAGTGATTTAAGCTGGATCTTGAAAGATGTGTAGGCTTCTCTGGGTAGAACAGAGTCACTGAGGATATAAAGGATAACATAAAATGATGACGGTAGAAAATGGTTCTGAATAGAGAATGGATGATAGGACAACATTGTAGTTTGAGGAAACCAATAGAGTTGTATAAGGAAAAGCTGAAACAGGTAAGGAAGAGACTATAGAAACACAGTTTGAGGTTAATAGGTGGCCCAGAGCCATTGGGAAGGAAAGAAAGGGTGAAGATGATAGGGCTGCTGCTATAGGGGAAATCAAGAGGACTTGGTGATTCATGTTGGATATTGACTGAAAGAGGAAGGAATCACATTAAACATGAGGCCAATGAGATCTTGAGTCATCCAGCAACTCAATCAAGATTTCCTAACAGAAATAGTACACACTAATTCCACATGAGGCTCCAAGAATAGACAGGACATGTGGGGTATGAACTATTGTTACAGGAGCACAGATTCCCTCCAAAATGTATCCAGCGTTTGGTTAGTCGAGTTTAAGACTTCCAAGCTTAATCACATGTGCCAACAGCTAAAATACAGCTAGCATTCCTGTCATAGATGGTTTTGTTTACATGCAGATACTAGAGTATTAATACCTCACATACCTCATCAGATGCATAAAAGTTAAAATGGAAGAATGGATTTCAAAGAAACTCCACAAATACAATTCCTGGAACTTTATCCTGTATGCTCATAGGATCTGTGCCTACCTAGGAGACCATTTCTCTAGAGACTGGAATAAGATTGGCTCTGTTTCTGGCCTTGACAAGAACTGTTACCACACAGCATAATAACCTGAATGATTTTCATTTTTGTGTGTATATGTAGGCTGGACTGTGGTTTACAGGAGATGAAGATGTGAAGGTTCCAGAAAATCCTCTTGAACCCCTGCCATTTAATAGACAAGAACATCTCATAGAGGTAAATACATTGAACTCTGATCATCATCTTTTAGGCTGTTAAACTTGGGGAATTTGCCTTAAACTCCACTCTTATCCTTTTGTTCCTTTGCTGTCTTACCCAGAGCTTACACTTTATTATTTCTCACTGACGAGGCATAGAGAACTTCTAGGGAAGGACATATGGGACCAAAATTTTAGGCAAACTCTTGTTATTAACCATACAATCTTGTCATTTTACTGGTCTCTCCACATTTCACTTTTCCAATAAGCTAAGCTGTTATGTGGCAGCTTTGTCTCTAAATGAACTTTCAATTTTAAAAGCTTAGGGTATGTTTCTGTCATTTAACTAGTGTCAGTGTATTCCTTAGGTCCAATTTTCCTTCAATTTTTGTCAGACACTGCAGATTTGCATCTACTATTTTGCCTCAAAGCTGTTGCTGTCTATAACACTTGCAATAATAGCTTTATTATTAACTTTATTCCCAAGGCTATAACAGAAAGTAGGACTCTAGAATATTAAAATGCCACTCTGACTTCTTTATATATGCTTAAAACAGAACACAAACCAAAGCCACGTTTGTCAAGCTATGAGAAAAGCTGATTGGTAAATTCAGACAGTAATGAAATCTCATTGATATATATATATATATATATATATATATATATATATATATCAACTGTTCGATTTCTAGCCAACCATTAGGTCAAAATTGCAGAGCAAAAATTGAACATAACTCCAGATATAAGCTTAAAATGAGCAATTCCCTTCAACTGGACTGGTAATTTTTTAGCACTTCTAGATGCTAGCAGGAGTGGCGGTGAATTTGAGGCCACAAAATTGCTGAAAATTTTCAAGAGATGAAGTTGGTAGGTACAGATATATATTTTGTTGCTATTTTAAATATGAAACTGGAGGACCAACATCAATTCTCTGATAAAGCTTTTGGAAGATAGTCTCTGAATGACTTTTGCCAATAACATAAACATGTTCTTCAGTGCTTGAAAAGAACCTGACAGCTTGAATATCATTCCAGTAAAGGTACTCTCCTATTAAGCCAAAAGGTTACAGACCTTTCAACTGAAGGTAGAGTCTTACTGGCGTTCACTGAGCCGTTTAACAGGCAAGGATCTTTTGATGAACACCTGATGCTGGAAAATTAAATGGAGAAAAAGGAAAGATCAGAGGCAGAGACAAAACACTGGAGCCTGGGGGTATGTGTTTATATGGAGCTAAAGATAGCTGAGCGCACACATGATGAGGAAGATGAGGAGTTCTGCCTCTTCCCAGTGCCCAGTACTAGATTCACAGAGATTCAGAAAACTCTAAAAATGGAATAAAAGCACAAAATTCACTGTTTCCAAGCTATGTGGTCATCATGGCATTACTCAGTCTCTATATGCCTGGTTTGGGTTTTGTTTTCCTTCTGTGATTACTATGCATAGTGGGTTGATATGTTTGGCACCCCTAGAACAGTAATTGAGGCATAGTAAGTCCTACATAAACATGTTAGCTTTGTATCACCGTAGTGAAATACCTGATACAGACTACACATGAAGTTTAGAAATGCCTTTCTTAGCTTGTGGTTCTGGAAGTTCAAGTTCAAAATTGAACAGTCCCATGAGGTTGGGCATCAGCAGCACATCACAGTGCAAATGTGTCCGAGAGTGAGTGGTCATATCTCAAGGCAGGAAAAGATAGAGACAGACAAACAGACAGATAGTGAGAAAGAAAGAAAGGAAAGAAACAGAAGACACAGAGGTTCCACAATTCCCTTGGAGAGCATGTTCCAGTGATCTAAGGACTTCTTCCTTTTATGCCTCAACTCTTGAAAGTCCACAGGACTGCTAAGTGTTACACCTCATCCCCTAACATTCCCCCTTTGGGGATGCTCATCCAAACCACAGTAATAAGTACTAGCCAAATAGAAGCTAGCCGCAGTAAGTACACATTACCAGCAGGCAGTTTATGGTTCATATATTAAAACATAAATACAATGACCCACTAGAAAAAGCCACTGCCAGAGATGAGCCTGAAATGTAATCATCTTTAAAAATCAAGATTTCCATTGTCTCCTAATAAAAAAGGTATAAAAGAGAAAACATAGAACAACAAAAAATATTTACTTATTTGTCAGTAATTAAAAGTAGAAGAAGTCAGCTAAGAGAGAACAGCTTGGGAGCCCTAAACTCTGCTCTAGTTCAGCCATGATCCACCATAGGAACTTGTATACATCTCTTCCTCCCCTAGCCTGTCTGTAGCCCCTTAATGAATGAAAGGGTATGGGCTACACTTTAGAGCCATGTTCAGCTACCCTGCTTTGCTTTCCGTGCCCTGTGCCCTGCTTTGCCAACTGTGCCTACATGCCACCTCTTGCACGGCTCCTACAGACAGGCCATTATCACTGACTGTGGCTTGGTTGACCTTAGACATTCAAGTACTGGGTAGAAGTCACACTGCTGTCACACTGTCTACTGGCAGTACAGTGCACTTCATTGTGACCAGTGAGGCTTAGCTAGTTCTATTCCTGGCTTCCAGCTGTTCACATCAATAGCATCAAAAGTAGTTATCCTTGGGTTTAATAAATCCTCAGGGATTTTCTTTTACAAATTGCTTTAATTGTCATTCTGAAATCCACGAGTACTGTCTTGTCCTAATTTCCATAGTGTCTGTTTACGTGAAATCTTTTCATTCCCTCAATATGGTTAAGCCCAGGTACTGGGCTTGAAATACAAACTAATGAATCCCATGTGTCTATTCTTGTCACAAATCTCTCTTCCAAATACCTGTTACCTATTTGAATAGGCTAATAGACATCTCAAATTCACTTAACTCATCCTCACTTCACCTATCTTCACTGACATTTAGAGCTCAACTTTACCTGTGCTTTTATTTAGCAGATGCTTCAATTAATATCACTCATTACATAATGACTTTGTTAATGTTGCCCTCAGATGAGACTATTCCAAAACCTCTCTGCTATTAGAGTGAATTTCTTTTATCTTTGGTTGGAATTCTTTTTTGGGTCATAGTTCTTCTTCCGACTGTTCGCTGACTATGAGAAGGACCCACCCCAGCTTGACTACACTCAGATGCTGTTGTACTTCGCATGCCACCCGGACCCCGTGGAAGGTGTCTACAGGGCCCTCAGTGTGGCCGTGGGGACCCATGTCTTCCGACAAGTTGAAACTCCTATGCTGACTGCAGAAAAGGTAATGACACTCCAGAAATGCACAGATTCAGAGCTATGGAACAGGAGGAAAGAAGATGCTAAATTCCCAACCCTCAGTCTGAGTTGTTTCCTTTTTTGTTGTTTCATATCTCCCAGGTGCCCAATATAATACTTTATACATACTGGATCTTCAATGAAGACTTTCCCAATAACATTAAGAACTGGGGGGGAGGAGGACAAATTCAATCACATGCATTGCTTTGGTAGGAAAATTCTACTCCATTTCTTGGTAGAATCAAAATTTGCTCTAGAAAGGACAGGATTTCTTTTTGCCTGAGGTAATGAATCTGAGAAATGAAAAGGAAGTGGGTATTGACCACTTTGTGTGTTACTTTGTAGAAACTGTATCTGAAACAAGCTTACGCTTTCAGCTGCATCTATATAGGTGGTTCTTTTTTTATCATTTTAAAAGATATTTCATTATCTTTAAGTAGTTGTACAAAAAAGTTACCATTTAACAAAGTATTTTATGAATACAATACATCTTGATCGATGTCATTGTTGACAGTATTTCAGGCCAAACTCCACTACCTAAAAGCTGAAGATACTTTGGCTCACCTGCCCCCAAGGACAAAGAAGCTTAGTAGCTAACTAAAATGCCACCATACCACCTCCTTTGAGATTTCTGAGGGATAGACAGTCATGTCTTTTCAGGTGGGAAAACCTCCAGTCCGAGCAGAGTGGGCTATGTGTCAGTGCAAAATGCATAGTTGGCCTAACTACAGTCTTCCCTTTTCAAGAAAGAGAAATACTACAAGAAATGGGAGGCTCCTGGGGCAATATTCACACTGGGGAAGAGAGAGTTCTTTAGATGTGAACCTAAACTTTGGCTCTGACACATGGATAACAGCAATCATTTTTCCCTTGAAGAAGGACTAGAATAAGGCTAGTAGATGGTTGCAGTATAACGTAGGGATCTCATATCTAGTGTGCTATAGGTGCTGATTCAACACAAAGCTGCAAAAATGCTAACCTTGAGCAAGAATGGTGTTTGTCTTCTTAAACAGAAATAGAATACTTTATAATTTCCTCAACTATGTAAGGAGTTAGGTATAGTCTGCATTCCTGGGTATGGCAGTGCTTCTTTCTTGATGTTCCTGTGCCCCACTGTGCATGGGGATCTATGAATTGAGCCTGACAGAGGACGCAGGGCTTCCACAATTCCCTTGGAATGAATGCCATTAATGGTCTAGGAATTTCTCTGTAAGCCTCATCTCTTAAAAGTCCACAGTACCACCCACTTTCCTGAATTCAGATGATATTAGACTCCTTTCCCCCGCTACTTTCCATCCTAGCTGTGTGTTCCTGAAGTCCACTGAGCTTCCTTGCAGGAGGATGATTTGATGACTTCTTCATTGTCAGTGCTGGACTGGCATCCTGTGGGAAGGAGGTTTGACCAGGAGCAGCCTCCTGTCTCACTCTGCCTCCTTCAGTTTAGGACAAAGCCTGCCACCATGCTCAGTGAGCTCAGTGGCTCAACCAGCTCATTCATGCATTTTGTAAATTGTACTCTTTCTGTGCCCTTTCAATCTTTGAGACATTCAGAAGAAGACAAATTGATTTTCCTAAAAGGACTCTATATATTTGTCGCATCTGTGTCAAAAAGAATAATTTTTCCCAATAGGAAGGGAACTCAGAATAAAGAGCAGATACACACTGGGCCTTTCCAATCACAAGAGGCACTTGGGCCTTTTACCCTGGCCCCCACTTTTGATTCTTTTTTGGGGGGCGGGTCTGGTTGTGGGGCCTGTTCTCTTAGCCTGGACACTATCCCTCAGCTCTTCAGCTCAAGGCTAACACTCTACCACTTGAGCCACAGCGCCACTTCCGGATTTTTTTCCTTTTGCTTATGTGGTGCTGAGGAATTGAATCCAGGGTCTCAGGCATGCAAGACAAGCGCTCTACCACTGAGCCACCTTCCCAGCCCCCATTTTTGATTCTTACTGTTACCTCCACCGAAGTATGATTTATCACAGCTCAAAGTGTGGATCCCTCCCCTTTTTCCAAGGCCATGAGCATCCATTATGAATTCCAGATTATTCTTCCCCTGGTGACACTCATCTGGCCCTGAGTTATATTCAGAACTTCTCTGCTAGGTTGAACACCATCATATGCACACATAGAGTATTTCTATAAATACATATTAAGTACTGGGATCACACTCGACCTAGGGGAATATCATTGAACAAAAATAGAGATTGCACAGAATAATGATTTACAAACAATTTTTAAAAACTGGAGTTTGAGTAGGAGGAAATGCAGCAGCTGAGGGGGAGTTACTGTGTTCGTTAGAGTGTCTGTCTATAAAGAGAATTATAAAGATGTGGAGAAAGGGGTCAGAGGTGGCCCTGTGAGGAAGCATTTTAAGACAGGACAACACTGAATGTATAAGACCTAACATGGGTTTAGACCTTGTGTGTTCCAAGGAACAGAGTTGGTCAACACAAATAGAAAAAGTAGGATTTCAGTGATCATAGTGCAGAAGAAAAGAGAGAAAGGACTTGGGTCACCATGGAGATCTTAGCTTAACGCTGCTCTAAACAAGATGAAAAGTCCTTGGGAAAACCAAATTAAACTACTTCAGGATCTCTGCTCCACTGAGAACAAACAGAGCAACGAAGGAAGCAAGGGAGAGAAGTAAGCCCACTTAGTCATTAATACAGTTTGTCTATCCATTGAATTCTGCTGCTAAATTAGTCCTACCTTGAGTCTGGAACAACTTGTAACCCAAAGTAGCTTCACATAGCACATATACTCTATGTTGTGAACAAGGGAAAATAAGAGAGAGGGAGAGCACAAAGAATGGGCTCTGATCTCCAGGGTAGAGAAGAGGAGTGCAGATCTTCCAGGAAGATGTGCATGATCCCGGCAGCAGCCGCCAACCTAATTAGGATCATGGGCATCATGGGTAGCACTACATTAGACAATTCAATATGAATTATAGTTTCAGCATAACCTAATGTTTATTAGGCATAGTTGAATTTATTTGGCATTATTTGAATTTTTATCAAAATACCTTTGGTTTGAAAGGCTGTAAATCCCACTCCAAGTAACCTAGGTAATATACTTTCTTCATACTTGTATCAATTGTTCATCTGATTCATATCTAACAAATTGAACACTATTGCTTTTATACACTATTAAAATCTCTTTTGTTTTTCTGTATAATTTAAAAAAATGGAAGAGAAGAGGAAAGGGAGCGTTGCTTGAGTTGTTACCCTAGCAAAATCAGCCACCTCAGCAGGTGACAATCAAGCTACCTAGGACCAGAGGCTTTAGTTGCTCCCATCCATGAACCCTAATGCAAACACATCCTGAGTGCTGATCTGGAAAGATCTGTTCAAATCCAAAGGCACAGTATGGAAATGGAACCAAGCAACAGAGATCTGTGGGCCCTGAGGCACTGGGGAGCCTTTCTCCAACTCATGTACCTGTTCCTAGCTTAGAGTGATCCTTACGAGCTTTTGAAATCCAGAAGCTGCCCACTTCCATCATTTTCACTTGTCCCTGGTCCTTAACATCTTGTGGCAATTATTCTGCTCTATTTCTGAGTCATTTCCAACTGTGTTCTAGTTTCCTGGGCAACCTCATCTCAGAAGGCCATCATAAAGAGCTTGCTTAGAAATCACACTTCCAGCTGATCTATATTCACTCCCAAGGCATTCAGTCAGGTCTCTGCTTTTGCTTTCCATGTAAACAACTGGAAATCTCCCCGGAATTTCTTTCTTCCTTACTCTACCATTCATGCTGGTGTTACTCAATATGGCTCAGACCTTTTGTTAAGTTCTATAGCTTCTTGAATAATTTTAAAAGAAGCCCAAGAGCAAGGCACTGGTCAGTAATGTACTAGTCCTGGTGAATAAATGACATTTGCGGGGAAAATTGTTCATTCTGCAACCTGTGTAGCACTGGATTGTGAGGCCGGGATTTAGTAAATTGTGAGTTTGTCTCTCCTACATAGAAAAGTGTTACATTAAATAAAAAACCTCTTTGGTAGGAGTATTGGTGGCCCTGGGGCTCAAGGCACATAAATCTCTAATTCCATTCTTTTCTTTGATGCCTTTCCCACATTAGTTCCCAGAACTGACCTTATTTTCTGCCTTCTGAGATACAGTCCTGAGTTGATTGAAGGATAGAAATGTGTGGTCTGGAAGATGTTCAGGCACCAGTCCAAAGATGAACTTGTTGGAAATCCTTGAGGCCTAAAGGCTGTCTCTGAGAGCTACCTCAGTGCCATGGGTCCCCTGTTTACAAATAAAGTGACCCTCAGAATTCTGATACCACTAATACTTACTCCTTCAAAAGCCCTGACTTTTCCTCTACCTAGTATCACTGATCTTGTTCATAGAGCAACATTCAAATTTTCTCTCTTCAGAGTCTGTTGGAGAGAACGTCCTTTCCTAACATAGCCTCAGGTGCCCAGGATGCTGAACTGTCCTCCTCTAGTCTGATCTGGGCCTCATCACTTTTCCTCCCCACCGTCTGAATCGCTAACCTATTCTCCCCCAGCCCCATAAATCAAAATCATCGAAAACATTTTGTTTTAGTTTTCTCTGATGTAAGGAGGATACAGATATTTTTTCACTCTAAAGTGTTTAATGTGGCTCCTGTGTGTCATCTGAGCTAGCTGGGAAGCTGAGGCAGGGAGGAACAACGTTGGAGGTTAGCCCGGCATGCAAGACTCCTTCTTCACCAATAATAATATGACATTGAGTGCCTATTATCCTGGTTTCATGGGAAGTATGAAGAGGCAAATTGTGGTCTAGATGAATACCCAGGCAGAAAGCAAAACTGTTTCAAAAATGGCCAATGCAGTAGGTGCCAGATGCCCCACACTTGTAATCTTAGCTACTTGGGATGCTGAAATCTGAAGATCATGGTTCTAAGCCAGCCTGGACAGGCAAGTCTGTGAGATTCTTATCTTCATGTAGCAACCAATCAGCCTGAAGCTGAGCTCTGGCTTCAGTTGTAGAACACTAGCCTTAAACAGAAAAGCTCAGGGACAATGCCCATGCCCTGAGTTCAAGTCCCACAACCAGTACACACACACACACAAACACACACACACAAAACACCAGTGCAATAAGGGGCTAAAGATATTTCTTTATATTACTATATATCTTTCAAAGCTATAATTTCCATATTGTATTCCATCACAGATATATATATATATGTCATTTTTACAATAATAGGTTTTCTATTATACTGAAATAATTCAAAAATATTGATGCTCTTGGATTTTTATTCCTGGATTTATACTAAGTCAAAGAATTCAAATATTTTCTATGCTTTCATAACCTAAGAAATTATCTCAGCAGCATTTTATTCTCTGCCATCTACAAAATGTGCCTGAGCTCATGCTGTTAGCCAAGAGTAATAGTAGGAATCACTGGTGGATCTGAAATAATAATTTACCATAAGCTCAGTCTATTCAAATTCACATCCTGTCAAAAACCTATATTCATGTGTAAAAGCCTGACACTACTTCTACAAATTTAGTTCAGAGTCTACTTGAGTAACTTGGTATCACTGACAATGCAGTAAGTACAAAGGCTTTCGGAAAAAAGAATAAGTCTTCACTGACATTGACTAAAGTGCTAAGGACAGTTGGTCCAAGATTGTGATGTTGTGAATCCCAAAGCAGCCAGCACATTCTCTTCTCCATTTTGTTTAGGTTGTGTTAGGCATTAGTGTTCCACTGCATGAATTAGTGTTTTCTAAATGCCTCTACTGCTGAAAGCACTTTAGTCTGACTTTGCATTTTCTTCATTTCACTTTGCAGACTTCCTTCTCTACTGATGTAAGTCCTATTGAAGAGTTTCCTGAACCTGAGGAAAATGTCACAGGAGAGGAGAGGGAAATAAGAGAGGAGAGGGATGAGAGAGAACAGAAGGAAGAAGAAGTCCTTGAAAATACAAACACTGAAAAGATTTCCATAGAGACACTACTCAAAGTGTTCCAAGGAGGAAACGAAGCACAAGATGTGAACAGATTTGTCAACCATCTAAAGTCAGAGAACATTTATGCTGAGGTTGGTTAGCTTATTTGTAAAACAGACAAGTGTACATAGGGAAAGCTGGCCTTAGTTTTGCGTATATTTAAATGGATTTGCTTGGGAAAATATCATAGTGTAAAAATTAATTATGGGGATTTCTTTAATAAGAAAACATTTTTATTATCTCCAGAATGCTAACATTATCTTAATTACCTTCATTAAATTATATGACACTATTATCACAATTACTAACGCTAATTAATTACCCTTATTTTTGTTCTTCTTTAAAGAGCTTCAACAAAACATTTCAGGATCTGGGTTCCAGGAACCTGGAGCCAATTCAAGTTTCTCTCCTCTTGAAGCATCCTTTCATTCAAGACCTGATTGCAAATTATTCAGACTACAAATTTCCTGTGAGTATGACTGCAAGCTGTTACTATCTGGAGCCCAAGATCAGAGCACACTGAGAATTTCTAATGTGGCTCTCAGGGAAGATGAATTTGGCCATGGAGTGCAAAAAGGCACAGGGTCCATAGTAGTGAAGCAGTTCTCAGTGTCAAGAATCTTTCTCACTATTATGAGGCTACCGCAGAAGACTAGTGATACAAATAGTTAAAGCTGGGTCTGTGGACCATTAAATTATGGACTATTTCTGGTGATATAATGATCCTAGCCTACAAGAAAAGAATGCAGATAATAAGATCCTTCCTGTCCAAGAGAACTAGCCAAAGATTTAAGGTCTCCAGCCAAGCATTGACATGTCCGTCAAACTCAAATCACAGAATATATTGTCTATAGGTAGAACTGATAGTACATTAAAAAGATAAGGTTTCAGTTCCATCAAGAAAGCAATATGTAAAATGAGGAAATTAAAGATAATTTGGGAAGATCGGGCACTGGTGGCTTATGCCTATAATCCTGGCCACTCAAGAGACTGAGATCTGAGCATCATGGCTCCAATGCAGCCCCAGCAGAAAAGCCTGTGGAACTCTAATCTCCAATTAACCACCAAAAAGCCAGAAATAGAGGTGTGACACAAATGGTAGAGTGCCAGCTTTGAGCAAAAACAAAAAGTAAGAGCATGATACTATAATACTATAAGTTCAAACCCCAATACAGACATACACACCAAAACACACACACACACAAAAAAAAAAAAAATGAGCAGAGGGAATAGATAGGCTCAACAAAATATAAGGAAGAAATAAAAAAGAACAGCAACTCAGAGATCACACATTAGGCAGCCAGGTCACAAGCACTGAAACAAATCTCAAGTTTTCAATAGCATGCACTAAGGCAAGTGGAGATTTGTTATATCATTCCCCTGTACCAATTTTAACAGCATGACGTCCCTCTGGTTCCTGCTACCCATTTATTGAACTAGAAAGGGTTTGTTGAGTGTGAGATTAAGAGCCCTTTCTCTTTGCTAAAATCCATGGGGTCTAAGAAGCATTTTTCCTGACTTTTTTTTTTTAATTTTATTTTATTTTATTTGAGAACATATTGTACAGAGGGGTTACAATTACATGGGCAGGATAATGCATACATTTCTTACCAAGCATTGCAGCCTCCTCCTTTGTTTACCCTTCACCTCCCTTCCCAGCCTCCCCCCTCCCCCCCACCCAATCATACCCCCCCTCCCCCCCCCCCACACCGACATTGTAAAGCTGGTTTTGACATGACATTTTGTACTTCTCATTGTTGCAACAGGTCCACCTGAATCCTTAAACGACTTGTTTGTCCCCGTCTCCTCCACATGTTATACTGACATCAAATATAGTGAAAGCGGGGGTTACACTGTGGGGGAGGGACATACAAAGCAACAAAGAAATAATCTTATAAATGCGTTAGAAACACATGCATGAAAGAAACAAAAACATTAAAATACATATTTGAGGGTTCATTTTCCTAACATCACATTATCTGACTAACTTTTTCCGCTTGACTCATACCTATACTAGATATTGCAAATAAGGGAAACCATGGGACCTATGTTTCTTTGGGCCTGGCTTACTTCACTTAATATAATTTTTTCCAAGCCTTTCCATTTCCTAACAAGTGGGGAAATGTCATTCTTTCTGATGGAGGCATAGAATTCCATTGTGTATATATACCACATTTTCTTGATCCATTCATCTACTGAGGGGCATCTGGGTTGGTTCCATATCTTAGCTATGGTAAATAATGCTGCAATAAACATAGTTGTGCTGGTAGCTTTAGTGTGGTCTTGTTTGTAAACATTAGGGTAAATGCCCAAAAGTGGGATTGCTGGGTCATAGGGGAGTTCTATGTGAAGTCTTTTGAGGAACCTCCATACTGCTTTCCAAAGTGGTTGAACAAGTTTACATTCCCACCAACAATGAAGTAAGGTTCCTTTCTGTCCACATCCCCTCCAGCATCTGTTGTTGTTAGAGTTCTTGATTTTTGCTGTTCTAACTGGAGTGAGGTGATATCTCAATGTTGTTTTGATTTGCATTTCTTTTATGACTAGGGACGTTGAACATTTCTTCATGTGTCTATTGGCCATCCTTCTTTCTTCTTCAGAGAAGCTTCTCTTTAAGTCTTTCGCCCACTTACTTATTGGGCAGTTGTTTCTTTGAGGATTTGTTGTTGGGTGGTTTAATTTTTTGAGTTCCAAGTATATTTTAGATATGAGACCCTTGTCCGTTGTATGGCTAGTAAAGATCTTCTCCCAATCCGTGGGCTTTCTATTGATCTTGCTAGCTATGTCATTTGCCCTGCAGAAGCTCTGCAACCTTATGCAATCCCATTTGTCCAACCTTTCTTTGATTTGTTGTGTTTCCGGGTCTCTATTCAGAAAATTACTTTTTTTTTTTTTACAGATTTGCCCAGAAATGGAACTATCTTTGTATCTCAGTTTAATTGTTCTAAATTGAGGCTCCTTTTTTATATCAATTTTATAACCTATATTCAAACTAATTGAAATTGATTTTTATAAAGCTAACTGCTTTTGAGACCTTCAGCACATCCAGAAGTGAAATATAATTATAGCATTTAAGAACCCAGCTTTAGAATCAGAGAATTGTGAATCTGGACCTTTTGACCACTACCCATCAGCTATCTGATTGCAACTGTCTCCAAATCCTGGCTGTCTCCTCTGTTAAGTGGGAAATCACAGCCAATCCTATTCAATAGAATGACTCAAGATTATGACAGATCCTGCATGTAAAGTACCTGTCATGGAAGCTGTCACGTGAAAAGTGCTATAAAGATGGCCACTGAAACTGCCCTAATCACAGACACCAGGAGCATAAGCTTCCCTGCATAGCAAACGCAGCTGCCATTCTTAAACAAATCTCACTTCCATTTGGAAGACAATTCTTACCTGTAAGAATTACAAGGGAATGATATAAGATAGACCAACTAAGTACAAAATTATACACATTCAAAAGATGACTTTTGTGTGCTAGAAGCATGGGGATCTGCTCAGTATAAAATTAAACTGTTCTGGAAAGATGGGCAGTGGAGAGAGAGATAAGGAGGTCTGCATACATTTTGTTACTGGCTGGAAAGATGGCAGCCACCTCAGTGAAAAGCAGGCCTGGAATATGGTATGACAGTGGGACTCTGTGGGTAGATCTAATGCCTAGAAGAGCCATTGGCAAGAATAGAGTATGACCCCACTGAATTAGTAAAAAATCAGGCCAGATTGCAAAGAACTACAAGAAAATCTGGATTACATTTGAAAAATAATGCTGTATGAATAGGCTTCTAAGGAGCTGAGTGGAAGAGGGTTGATGTCTTCATACCTAAATATTTCTGTCACTAAACCACATCATGTCATCATGACATCTTTTATAAAGTGAGTTCCACTACATTTTATCCACATGTCAGGAAAGAAGCTTCTTATTTTGAACCAGTAAAATCACTTACAAAATCTCTGGGAATGACATATAGTAAGATTCATTTTTTTTACCCAGAAAAAGTTGGAGCATGAAATGATAGCATACTTCCTCCCTGAGTGGGAAGAAAACTTTCTGCAATGTCAGAGTGATTTAGAATACCGTCACTCTGACCAGAGTGACTAAACATGATTCCCTTGTAGAGAAGATTCTGTTTGCTATTTCACCTGACAGAAGAAAGCCCCTAGATGACTTCCTGTGTGAGTGGACCTTGAAAGAAGATCCGACAGCAAATCCTAATGGGAATCCTCCAGGAAAGCTGGAATCCACAGGACTCTATTCCAATGGTTTCTCTCATTTTGGAAGTAGTTTTCTCAACCTGCTAGATTCCTCAACTGAGCTACTTTGGACAGTCTAGTTCCTCTTTGTGTGGGACTGTCTCAAATAGAGCATGATATCAAAGACTCTGGGCTCCTACAAACTACATTCTAGGAGCATCTTACATGTTGAGCTACAAAACTACCTCTTTTTCCCTGCTGCGCAGTCCCTCTCAAGATGAATCTTCCAGTTAGCCTGTCTCCTAGTGTCACTCACTCAAGAACTCCCTTAGCACAAAGCTAATGTGCTCATCAGCAAACTAACTAGCTAATTAATCCATTGCCAGAATACTTCTTTAAGATTTGTCTAAGTCAGATTCTTCGATTCTTGTTCTTGCCCTTCACATTTCATTGTGGCTGGTTTGATTGGAGTAAAACGAACAAACAAAAAAGACAGAAAACTACCACAGTTGGTTCTCATTGAGATGACTGTGAATCAAGGAGACTTGTATCCATGACCTGGAAAGCCTACATTCTGACACTTAAAATGAAACAATGTCCTTTTTTGAGAAAGATATTCAATGCTTGTTTTTATTATTAAGGAAAGGAAAAGAAAGGAAAGGAAAGGGGAAAGGGCAAAGGGCAAAGGGGAAAGTGAAAAAAGGAAAAGGGAAAGGGAAAGGAAGGAAAACTATCTTGAAAACTTGGAGTCTATCATACCCACCTACCATTTTTTTTTTTGCTCCAAATATCCATGCACAAGTAAATAGATCACATTTTAAAAACAAACTTAAACCACAGTGATGTTATTTGGAGATTGCTCAAGATAAGCAGAGCAAAAGCTAGAATGTGGTTTTTCAAGATTAAAATGTTGTTTGCTATCATAAACAGTGGAAAGTGAAGGTTGCTGCCTGACAGCCCTGTTTTTATAAGATGTGTGTGTAGGAGCTGAAACATTGAAAATGATGTATCTTTGTGTGCAATGATGATGACATGTTCCTAATATAAGGTGAACTGGCTTTGAACTTATGAGATGGAGCTCTGAAGCTTCACCTCTGAGATGTGTGTCCTTGGGCAAGTAACCTCACATTATCCCAGCTCTCTGATCCATAAACCGATTTTGTATGGATGAAATGGGATAATAAATATAATATGGTTAGCTCAGTTCCTGGCAGCTAAAAATCACTTTGATGTTAGATGTTACACCTTCTCCTGTTTTATGGCAAGAGAAGCTGAAATGACAGCTCTATCATCATCACCTTCTTCTTCTTCTTCTTTATTACTATTATTATTATTTGTCAGTTGTGGGGCTTGAACTCAAGGACTGTCCCTGAGCCTCTTTGTGCTCAAGGCTAGCACTCTACCACTTGAGCCACTTCTGGTTTTTGAATGGTTAATTGGAGATAAGTCTCACAGGGATTTTTCTGCCAACCTGACTTCAAATCATGATCCTCAGATCTCAGCCCCCCTGAGTAGCTAGGATTACAGGTATGAGTCTCTAGCACCCAGCTGACAGCTCTATTATCAAGAGAGAAAAAAAAAAACTTAGCTATCTTAGGTGTAACTACTCCGTTTCAGAGTGAGATTCAAACTCAATGAAATGTTTTCTCCAAAGGGCGGCAGGGAAGAAACATTGTTCATCATTAATCAAACACTCTCATTTTTGTAACTTCTCTTTGAATGTTTTCTTTTAGGATATTAAAATGATTCTGCAGAGGAATGAACACATTCAAGGCAGCGATGGAGAGAGGTCACCTTCAAGAGTTACAGAGGAAAAGAAATGAAGACGAATGAATGCGATTTTTTAAACATAATTTAGCAATGAATCTTCTGACAATTAAGTGTGACTGTGGTGTGTGTCATACTGTTTGAGATGTGACTCCTGCAGTTCACGGGGTGAGGGGGAGGGGAAGGAAATGCCTGAAAAGGAAATCTTGTTCAATGATCAGTCATCAGCCTTGAAGAAAGTGCAAATACCCAAAGTAAGCAAGGCAGCATTTTGAAGTCATTCTGAAAATAGAAAATACCAGAAACATTACTGAGAGAATTCCCCCAGGAGAAGTAGCTGTGTTAGGTGAAAACCCTGAAGAAAAGTTCCCCCAAATTCCTACCAGGAAAGAACTGCTCTGTACAAACCCTCTCGCTCCTCATGCTATAAAACAAGGTGCATTTCAGTGTTCTAGGAGAAGCCTTCTTTATCAAGCTGCTAGTACCCTTGGGCCCCTTTTGCCTATTAATAATTAATTTCTTTAGCAGAAGGTTTCCTTCATGTACAATAGTACTTGTGCAGGTGTGCTGATTGGTATTGATCAGGCGTATTGATCAATACGAGAGTGAACATCAATGACATATTTTGAGAAAGTGTCTTAAAAAATTGAGTGGGGATGGAAGTCCATTGTCTGGGCTTCCCTGGCCTCTCGGTGGGGCGGGTTACAGGATGCCAATTCTGAAGGTCACTTGGGAGATCCACTCTGTGTATTCAGCTTCCCAATGCCCCAGAGGTCTGGCACCTGATTTCTCTATCCACAATCCAGAATGTGGATGACTCACCCACTTCTGTGACTTGACAGGTGTAACTGCGGCCGAGAGCCTTGACACTTCCATTCCTGACCTCCTCTGAAAGCCTCTAAAATCTCTGTCTTCATATTCATAAGCAGTGTTTATGTCAAATTCACCAGGTGTGGGATGGAATTCCTGCTCTCCGTCCTGCACCTCTGCATTTTCCCCTGTTAAAGCAACTCAGCCTTACTATTCTACCCAAAGACCTTGAAGTCATCCTTCCCTTGACTCTTAGCTCCACTCCATCAGCACATAGCTTCCCAATGTATCTATCCTCAAATCTTCCTTACTTTCATCACAAGAATACTGCTCCAAAATCCCATCATTTCCTGCCTGGATCTTTGCAGCAGTTCCCCATCCTTACCCCCTGATAAGCTATTTTTACCACAGCAGCTAGACGAGATTCTCCAGTGCAAGTCATGCCATACTCTCGCCCTTTCCCACCCCTCTATTGGCATGTTATCTAGAGCAGGTTCTTACCTGGACATTATTATCCCTGCATCCTCTCTGATCTCACCTGCCATTTCCCCCTATTTCTCTCTATTTAAACAACAAGCCCACCTAACTTGTCACAGAAGATACCAGGCACCCTCCTGCCTCAGGCCCTTTGCATTTGCTCCTCTCCCTGGTTGGACGGATTTTTCTCCAGTGCCTCTGGATGGTTTGTCACATGACTTCCTTCAAGTCTCTGTTCAAATGACGCTTTATTTTCTAAAGCTTTCCTTCACCAGGTAATACAAAACAGGAACAAGACATCTTATCAGCACCACATACTTTCTAACTTTATTCATTGCATTTACCAATTTCTGCAAAGTTAAGGTTTACTCTATTGTCTGTCAATCCAAAGGGGTTGCAAGCTCCACAATCATCCTTCTTTCCTTTCTTCTTTTCTTTCATCTGTCCTCCTCTTTTCTTCCCCTCTTCTCTCCCTCTTCCTTCCTTCCTTCCTTCCTTCCTTTCTTTCTTTCTTTCTTTTTTCTTCCTTCCTTCCTTCCTTTCTTCCTTCTTCATTATTTTTGCATTTCTTTACTATTGTGCCTAGTACCTAAAACTAAAACCATAACCAGCAGATCTGGTCATAGTGAGCCTCTGTATCATAACGATGTATCCACTGTCTGATGTCGAACATTTATTATTTCCTTTTGCTATCATTTCCACAGTATTAAAATTACATTTTTCCTACTGTCCTATAGGTCCTATTTCCATGAAACCTTAGTACATTATGGTGAAAATTAAGTTTAGAAAAGTTATATAGCTCATTCAGAGTCACAGAACTGATAAATAGACATAAATAGAAACCTAATTCTAACCCTCAAAGCCATCATTTTACCTAATTTTCTACATTTGGGTACTCATAAGCAATTAAACAAAGAATGAAAGAAATATGGCTTCATGGTATTTAAAAGCAAAATAAAATCTTTTATAAACTAAGCACAATCTAATTTGCTGTGCTATGTGCCTCCTAATGAATATCTTCAGGATATCAGTAATGGTATGATAACTGAGTTAAATGATCAATTTCTTCTGGTCTGCTATGGTGAGACCTCAACAGCAAACTGTGCCTGGTTCTTGGGCATACATTGTAACACATGCACACACTATATACAGAGAAGTTGGTTCCATATAAACATAAACATCGCATATACTTATGCACACACATGCTGTATTCAGATAGGCAGAAACTCAAAACTCCTTAGCCTTTGCCTTGAGAAGCAAAGCAAAGCTTCAGATTAGAGAACAACAGAGCCATCTCTAACAATTTCTAAAGGTGTTTAAGTGAAGTGTCTTGTCTCTGCTCCCCAGGGATGAGCCAACATGAACTGTGATTGGAATTGATTGGAATTCCATGAGCTCTTCCTTGCCAGATGCACAGAGTGTGGGGGAGTGGGGATATGATGTGGCAAAGATGGGAATGGCCATGATAGAAGCCCAGTGCTTCACCCTTTTGTTGTTTCAAAGAAATTTCATAGTCCCTCCTCAATGAACACTTTTCATTCGGTCTTTATTGAATAAGAATCTCTCCCTCTCTGGAACACTTTGACTATACTTATCCCACCATTTGAGCATTCCATGATCCTCATACTAGAAGTAAATTGGAACCCAAAATCATACAGCAGTCACTTGGCTGGTTTCCTGTTCAAGGCAGACTGGAGTTCCCTGGGGGAGAGTACAGTGGGGGTAAAGGGAATAAAGTTATTCAATTAGCACTTGGCAGAATGAACTGTGGTATCACACATCTGGGAAGTTCACTGGGAGGAACTCCTCCTCTTCAGCTCCAGTTTTGATTAATAGCAATAGCTATTGTACTTATAGTCACCTGAGCTCAAAATCTCAGTGCTGGCTGTATCATAATCCCTAACTTCAAACCATGCTACAGATCCAAAGTAACAAATACAACATGACACTGACACAATAACATACAGATTAATGGAATATGGAGATGACACAGAAATAAGACCATCCAATCAGATAGCTATGGCCATCTGATTTTCAACAAGGGTACCAAAAGTTCATGTTGGAGAAAGATAGCCTTTTCAACAAATAGTGCTGGGAAAATTGGATGTCCTCATGCAGAAGACTGAAAGTGGTTCCTACCTCTTAACTTTTGTGTATACACAAAACAAATTGCAAATGGGTCACAGATCTTAATGAAGACCTAAGAATTTGAAACTGTTCCATGAAAATACTTCAAGATATAGGAAGATATAATAAGAATAGGTAATATTCTCTTAATAAAATAAAGTTTTTCAGAAAGTAAGAATAAGAATTGAAAACTGGGATTGCATCAAGTGTAGTTTCTGCACAGCAGAGGAGGTAATTATAAAAATCAGAAAACCTACAGAGAAAAACCCTTTACCAGTTATTCATAGAATAAAGGGTGTTTATCTAGAATATATAAAAAGCTCTAAAAATTAAACAGCAAAAGAATAAATAATCCAATTAAAATAAACATGAGACATTTCAAAAGAAGGACAAATGGCTAACATATGAAGTAATGTTCAACATCCATAGACATAAAAGAAATGCAAACCAAAACAACCTTGACATGCCATCTTATCCCAGCCAGAATCATTCTCATCAAGAAAATAAATACTGTCAAGGATGCAGAAAACCATTACTCTGATTAAAATATGGCAAATATCATAATAAAACCTCTTGGTACAATTGATGTGCACTTAGAAAATAAATGACACGAAAGTAAAACAGGTCCTGTTTGTGTGTGGGAAATCAGTGGAGGGGTAAGGGTAAAAAGCAAGAGTGAATGCTGGAGAGGATGGTCACAGCACAATAGCCCTTAGTATTATTATATGAAAACTGGAGGAAAGTTTTTGCGAAGGGGGAGGAGATAGAGTGATGTTGGTGGGGTGCATTATATTCACCTGTGGAAATGTCACAATGAAACCTCTCTTGGAAATTAGTGTATGCTATAAAAATTCATCAACAAAACAGAGGGAGAGAGAAAGACATACTCTTATATACTGTTTTGATGCAGGAATGTAAATTAGTGTAGCCACTAGGAGATCAGTATGGAGAGTCCTTAAAAAACTTAAAAACAGGACTCCTGTATCACCCTTCTAGAATGCTCCTGGGCATATTTCCAAAGGAGGGTATGACAATATAATAAAGATACCAACACCTCTGTGTTTATAACAGCATCCTGAACTATAGCCAAAATCAGAAGTCTAGAGTTCCATCAACTGATGATATATAAGGAAAGCGTGATATAGACAAACAGATGGATAGATAGAATATTGTTCAACATTAAAAAGAATGATCCTGCAAGTTGTCATTTGCAAGAAAAATATATCATCATGTTAAGTGACATAACTAGAGCAAGTAAGAGAAAAACCACATGTTCCCTCTCATATGTGAATCTAGTCCTTAAAAAATAAATGACAGGTCGTGTTTATAGGTGGGAGAGAACAGGTGAGGGAGACAAGCAAAAGGAGAGATGAAGGGGGGTTGATATGGTCAAAGTACTTCATACATACCTATGAAAATAGAACAGTGAAATCTGTTGAAATAATGGAAGGAGGATCAGAATGTGGCTTCATGGCAGAGTGCTTGCCTCGCATGCATGAAGCACCACATAAGCACAAAAAGGTGGAAGTGGCGCTGTGGCTCAAGTGGTATACTGTTAGCCTTGAGCTGAAGAGCTGAGGGACAGCACTCAAGCCAGAGTTCAAGCCCCATGACCAAAAATAAATAAATAAAATAAATCATAC